AGCAACAACAAATGCATGGCATGGAGTCCTGGTGTGGTGGTATGGGTTAATGCGCTGGAATGCTATGTTGGTTTGAACCGCCATGTTGGAGGTTCAAGTTCATCAGCTGCTCCTTGGAAACCCTATGCAGGGTTGTTATGGGTTGGAACTGACTTGATGGCAGTTAAAAATATCAAGCAGTAGAAGACAAAATTGATGACTAGGACCTCCTAAAATTAGAAACTTATATACATCAAAAGGTATTGCCAAAAAAGTAAAAAGGGAGTCTACAGACTGGCAATTTTTTTTTCTGCAATGACACATCAGACAAAGGTTTAATATCTAAAGTTTATAGAAAACCACAGCACCTACAAGAAAAAGACAAACATCCCAATTAAAAAATGGGCACAGAACATGAACAGACACTGCACCAAGGAAGGCGCCCAGGTAGCCAACATATATGAAGAACTGGTCACGATCATTAGTCATTAGAGAGATGCAAATCAAAACAACCATGAGAGGTCATCTCACACTAACATTAGTATTGAAGATTTAAAAAAAAAAACAACCCAGCAAACAATAATGCTGGCGAGAATGTGACTGGACAAGGAACCTCTTATATTGCTGGTGGGACTGTAAAATGGTACAACCACTGTGGAAAACATATTGTGTTTCCTCAGAAAATTAGAAACAGAAATACCAGCAATCCCTCTACCTGGCATATATCTATAAGAAATACGAGCCAGGACATGAGTAGATATATATATGCACACTGATGTTCATCGCAACACTGTTCATAATAGCAAAAAAATGGAGGCATCCTAAGTGTCCAACAATGGAAAAATGAATAAACAAAATTTGGTATATACACACAATGGAATAATGTGTAACACTGAAAAATAAAGATGAATCTGTGAAACTCTTCAAAACTTGGATGAACCTGGAGGACATTATGCTGAGTGAAATTAGTCAATCACAAAAGGATATATATTGCATGAGACCATTATTTTAAAAGCTTAAGAAAAGGTTTCCAGACTAACAGAAACATTTTTTGATGGTTACCAGAGTGGGAGGGAGGGAAGTATAATTCACTGGTTAGAGGGTAGACACATGTTAGATTGGGAGGGTAACATATAAGAAGAGGGAGAGTGGCAGAAGAATAATGAAGATATGTGAAGACAAAGGTCTGCATGGGCAGAAGGGGATAGAGTAAGTAGTGATATATACCGAACCCTGGAACAATAGTGTGCTGTGCATAGATATCTGGATTGAAAGAAATATAGGCTGAATGGGTAAAGGAGCACAAGTGGAATATAAATATTTACATATCCCACAATTATGTAAGAGTTTGAAAGATGGAAAAAAACTAAACAAAAACAGTTTGATGGTTGCCATGGGTAGGAGGTAAGGGAGAGTAGTAGAGTAGGCTAAACGGTAAACACATGTTAACTTGTGTGAAGAGGAAGTTGACAGAATGATGAAGACAGGTGAAGACATAGGTATATAAAGGATAAATGGGATAGAGGTGATGGTAGTGATAGTAATTATTAAAAAAAAAAGACCAGGCTTACTGTTCAGAAAGAGACTGGAGGAACCTGAAACTATAGCTCTCAACCACCTTTCAGGTCTGGAAAGGAACTCACCTTCGTGGCCCAGCCAAGCAGTCGATAGGTATATAAAGGAAACAACAGCACTAGTAAGGTATGCTCACCATGAATGATGGAACAAGTCAACCATTTAAAATCAAAGACACCCAGAGTCAGTGACAC